GATTTTTACTCTGTAAAAGCAGATAATCGAGCACAACAATTAGAAGTTCTAAAGCAATGGGCTGGGGTAAGGAGTATTCTGTTTCTAGGCTACAAACAGTTCTCAGTAATAGTGTGTGACAATGAAGCAAATAGAGCTGCTGTTGCTTGCCAGGAGATTTTGTTGACAGTCCCGTCAATTCTCATTTTGGATGAGGGTCATACACCAAGGAACCAGGATACTGATGTTTTGACTTCATCGGAAAAGGTGCAGACACCTCGTAAGGTTGTGCTGTCTGGCACTCTTTACCAAAATCATGTTAAAGAGGTGTTTAATATTTTGAACCTTGTTCGTCCAAAGTTTCTGAAGTTGGAAGATTCTAAAGCAATCAAGAGACGGATATTGAGCAGAGCAGTAATTTCAAGCAAAAGGAACCTAATAAAGAAAGGCTCAGATAATGAATTCTTCGAGTTAGTGGAGCACACACTCCTGAAAGATGAGAATGTAACAAGGAAGGCTACAGTTATACAAGATCTGAGGGAGATGACAAGAAAAGTTCTTCACTATTACAAGGGAGACTTTCTGGAAGAACTTCCAGGACTCGTGGATTTGACAGTCATCCTTAAGCTTCATCCGAAACAGAAAATTGAAGTTGCTGGGTTAAAGAACTTGCGAAGAAAATTCAAAATAAGTGCTGAAGAAGTGCATTATACGTGCACCCCCTGTTGAAGAGTCTCTCAAAACACTCTGTTAAAGAAAGGATTGATGAAGAGAAAATTGATATGATTTTAGATAATTTGGAGGTACGAGAGGGTGTGAAAGCGAAGTTCTTTCTAAATCTTCTGGCATTGTGCGAATCACACAGGGAAAAACTCCTTGTATTTAGTCAGTACCTATTGCCTTTGAAGTTCTTGGAGCAATTGACCATAAAGTTTAAGGGTTATTGTATTGGAAAGGAAATTTTCATGATTACTAGAGATTCGGATAATGAAGTGAGGGAATCTTCAATGGAGCGGTTCAACACATCAGCAGATGCACGTGCTTTCTTCGGTTCCATCAAAGCCTGTGGTGAGGGAATATCACTTGTGGGGGCATCCCGTATTATCATATTGGATGTACACTTGAACCCTTCGGTAACTCGCCAAGCAATAGGACGTGCATTCCGGCCTGGTCAGGAGAAGAAAGTATACACCTACAGATTGGTGGCGTCTAGTACACCAGAAGAGGAAGACCATACAACCTGTTTCAGAAAGGAATCTATATCAAAGATGTGGTTCGAGTGGAACCAATATTATGGTCTTGAGGATTATGAAATGGAGAAGTTGGATCCGAAACAATGTGGCAATGAATTTCTGGAAACAGCACGGTTTTCTGATGACATCGTTGGTCTCTACAAAAGGTAAGTCATAATACATTATGGTTGAGTCACTACTGTTTTTCCACATTCTATTGACTCTCTTTGTTTCTCTTTCCAGATAAAATGTAACAAAACAGAAATGTTGACTGTGGCTTTATCCTCCTAGGACTAACCTCATAACGTTAGTTCAAGATTTGGAGTGGAAAGTAGGGTTTGCATGATGTGTATATATGCAGTTACTTTACTGATCCTAGGTTGGTTGTAGTATAGACTTGTAGTTTGATACTCTTATCATTTGTAATGTGTGTAGAACACTGGATTCCTAGGTTTATGTTTTTGGATGTTAGTGTTTTTGCTTGTGAACCCAAACTACCCTTTCTTCAATTCTACTATTCATTTATGTTGCTGTACTTTGAGATTTACCCAAATTGATTAGCTATGCTATGCATTTAAATATTAAGTTTTCCAGATAAATGACAAGTTTTGATGGGTCAAAAGTGCCAAGTTGATCTCTTGTTCATTATGTTATACCTTATACGGAGTAATTGATTGGCCTCTTGACTTTCTGAAGTTTATATTATGCCAATGTGTAATACCCAATTCAGTCCATAACGTACTTGGGAAATGTTTTTGGTGGGCATTAAATTTTCCCAACATCTTGAACCTCACTGGAATATCTCGACGCGTCGAGTCTTCGGCGACAATTTTTCGGGTCGCTACTAGAAATTCTCGATGCGTCGAGTCTGCTGATCTCGAACGGTAAGACTACTGGAATAATTGGACGTGTCAAGTCTCGAAACCTATGTTTCTACCCTCCAACATTGTTTTGACGGGAAAATGATTGAAATGTGAAGAAAGAAGCATGTATTTCTCAAAAATGTGACTGGCCATTTTTGTGGACAAAAATATGAAAAGAATGTTTGGGACATGCGTTTGATGTCACACCACAAACGCAAGTCCCACTTGTGATTTTTTTTTTTTTTTTTTTTTTTAAATTTGGTAGCTGGCTACACCGATCACCGGTTTCCCCAGCAAGGAGGAGAAGGCAACCAGTGGCAGTAGCTTTCTCCTTCGCTGGAGAAGCCAGAGATTTGGTCGGCGGCGGAGAAGTCGCTGGTTGCCGTCGACCAAATTTAAAAAAAAAAAAAAAAAAAAAAAAGAAGCAAAACCGCAAGTGGGACTTGCGTTTGTGGTCTGATATCAAACGCATGTCCCAAACGACCTTTTCATATTTTTGTCCACAAAAATGGCCAGTCACATTTTGAGAAATACATGCTTCTTCCTTCACATTTCAGTCATTTTTCCTGTTTTGACTCCAAGCATGCCTTAGGACTTCCCATTACCTTTTGCAATTGACCTACAATGGTTCCAAAACACTAACAAACACCGTAAAACATTGAAATCAAGTGTGAAACCATATCCTAATGAGAAAAACAAGAGAATATGCAAAAAAAGTAACATTTTCATGAGCTTAAACCCAACAAATAGATTCAAACTAACAAGAGAAACATGTACAATTAAGCTCACATCAACATAAAAGTCACGGTCTCTATAAAAAAATTGATAAATATTTATTTATTTAAAAGATATTTGATGATATCATATATTTGGTAAGTTGCATTATATTACATGTTTAGGCAAGTGTATAAGTTATAAAGATAAAATTCATTATCAAATATAAAATACACCAACAATTTTGACTTTGATTTAAAAAAAAAAAAAATACTCAAACTTTTATATGTTATGAAAATCACATTCAAAAACTTATTTATTCAGATTAATTTCCTATGATTTTACTGTTTGATAATCTTAATCTTAACTATAATATAGCCATATGGTATGGTACAATAATTGCTCACTAAGCCATATGGTTATATTATAGTTAAGATTTATTTATTTATTTATTACATGGTGCATAAAAATTCAAATTAACCTTAATTCATTTTCATCTCTCTTGCCTTATCTAATCCATCCAAAAACTCACAAATAAACTTCAATTGAGATTATTCTAATGAGGTGAATCTTAAAAATTTAGTATATAGTACTTTTTTTTTTGAATGCTACTAGCTCTATTACATTGTAGTATTGCCTACATTGAGGCTCAAACTTACAACCTTCCAAATGCAAGTCCAACCCGGGTACCATTAGACCACATAGTCCTGGAATTTAGTATATAGTACTTAATATTACAAATTTTCAAGAACTTAGTAAACTACAATAGTGATTGAATTACAATTTTCAGAGTCACCACGGATCAAAATTTTTAGACCTAAAAATTTCTAGAAATCGCAAAGGTCTAAAAATTTTGATCCGTGGTGACTCTGAAAATTGTAATTCAATTACTATTGTAGCTTACTAAGTTCAATTCTTAAAAATTTGTAATATTAAATACTATGTACTAAATTTTTAATATAATTTAAGATTTGTAGTAATCACCTACATTAAATACTAATTCTTATTTTAATTGTAAATATATTTATGTTCTTAATTTTATCATAGCAATTCACACATAATTATTAAATAACAAAATTTTTATATATGAATAAACATCATATATAGTACTCCCTCCGTCCCGAATTGGATGTCTCATTTACTTTTTGCACGCTTTTTAATGAATTAAAGTAAATGTTATGCACTTTCCAATTATGCCCCACTTTTTCACTTTTAGAAATAAAAACAATAAAGAAAGCAAAAGCTAGAAGGGTAATTTGAAAAAAGTAGAATAATGGTGATGCTTAATTTTGGAAAGTGGACAACATTTTGGGACAAACTAAAAAGGAAAGTAAGACACATAAAATGGGACAGAGGGAGTATATTCTTATAACATATTTTCCGTGCATCGCACGAGAAAAATACTAGTATAATATATAGCCATTATTGATTTTTATTTTAAAAAGGGAAAATGACACTTTTTTCCTCTGAATTATATGCATATAACACATTTTTCCCCTGAATTATTCATGTAAGCACATTAACCCCTCAATTATTCTAAAGGTGACGAGTTTTCTCCCTGATATATTAAATTGACCTTTCTACCCTTAAAGTAAACATTTTACTCTATATTTATTTTTCTTCTCCAACAAATTATTACTTATACGTAGGGATGACCACGGTTCGGTTCGAACTGAACCGAACACTATAACAATCGAATTGATAGTTTCCGGTTATGATTCAGATCCAGAACACAATATATATTTGAATTTCAGTTTATTAAAATTATGAATCGAAAAAACTTGATCCTGAACCGTGAATTGGCGGTTCCAGTCCTGTTCGCGATTTTGAACCATAGCTAAATTTAACAATAAATGTATTTTATTTTTTTTCAGTTCAGAACATGAACCGGCCGTTCCGATTCACGATTTTAATAAACTCTAAATATCAGATTTCAATTCTAAATTATAATTGAAATAATTCGGTTTGGCTGCTATAGTGTCTGTTCGATTTGAACCAAATCGTGATCATAATTTATTGGAGAAGAAAAATAAATAAAATATTTATTTTAAGGATAAATATGTCCATTTAATATTTCAGGGAGGAAAACAATCACTTGAATAATTTAGAGAAAAAAAAATGTTATAAGTATAAAATTCAGAGGGAAAAAGTATTTTTCCTTTTAAATTTTTTTGTCAATTTCTTTTTCTCCAGCCTTTGTTCCCTCGCATTCATGGACATTGAAGGAGTTGGGTATGTAAACCTCTCTCTTTAATTTATCAAGTTGAATTAGTACTAAATTTGTACTTCTATTCTAGTCTAGTTAAATACGGAGTAATTGTGCAAAGTATTAACTTTTTGGTATAAAAGTTTTACTTTAATAGTATAAAAAAAAATAGATAGAAAAAGTATTACTGGTAATTATTTATTTTTAATTTGTTGATGCGGAGTTAATTCATTACTATTACAGGGTGTGCATTGGGTAAATTTAACCTTGCAATTTTAGTCGATAAAAGATTACAGGATGTAAATCAGCTTAGGTTGTTTGCCTATAAATAACCTACTGGAAATAAGAAGGTTAGGCTGTGTTTGGAAACTCGGAAAATGACTTCTGGAAGTCATTTTTCGAGTTTTTGATGTTTGGCTACACCTGGAAAATCCAGTCAACGGAATCAATTTTCCGTTGACTGGGGAAAATGAGCCCAATTTGGCGGAAAATGACTTCCGCCAAATTTGGGCGGAAGTCGTTTTCCGCCTTTCTCTTTCAATTTTTTTTTTTTTTTTTTTTTTTTTTTTAAATCTGGCGGAACTGGGTTCCGTCAGAAACCATAGCTATGGTTTCTGGCGGAACCGGGTTCCGCCGGAAATCAATTTTTTTTTTTTTTTTTTTTTTTAAGATTTAAAATGAATTTTTAATTTAAAATAAAATAATTAAAATATTTAATAATATCATTCTACTCATTTTCCAGAAAATGTACCAAACACACCAAAACAGTTTTTCAAATGTAACCAAACACTGGAAACGGAAAATGTTTTCCGGAAAATGACTCATTTTCCAGAAATCATTTTCCAGAAGTCATTTTCCTGCTTTCCAAACGGACCCTTAATTGGAATTCAAATTCCTGATCTTGTGATTATAAGTTTGTATTCCTAGTCATCTTGGTTGGGATTATGCTTATAATTGGTAATTATTTTTTGTATGACGTGAAGTATGTGAATGCAAAGAATAATATAATATGTACTTAATTTCATTCGGAGTCCAAGTTAACTATCAATAATCCTTCAACTATTAAATTATAATATACCCTTGTTCCTCTTGGAGGACCGGGACTGGTTACATTTTGAAAATTAAAGGACCATGAGTAATTAACTTGGAGTAATAAATGATAATGATTTAATTATTTAAAAGTTAAAAAATCACATGTGATCAATTTCAAAATTACTAAATGTGATAAAACTATTATACTCGGAGAATCCCATATGACATTAACTCATATATAATATGGGTGCAGAATCATAGAAAGCATAGGTGAAGAGGTGAGAAGCCTTAAAGAAGGAGATGCAGTGATGTCCCATTTCATAGGAGAATGCCCAAACTGCATTTCTGAGAAGTCAAATTTATGCTTCAAATACCCACTCAGCTTCACCACTGGCTATGGCGCGGCTCTGAAATTGGCCGACATTGACCATAACTCAACTGTTGCTGTGCTGGGTCTCGGCGGTGTTGGACTTGGCGTAAGTCATTTATTACTCTTTCCGTTTCATTTTGAGTATGTCTAGCAGAGCTTATAACTTATTTTAGATAATGTTCCTAAAATAAGCTTGTATCTTAAAATAAGAGATTATTTAAAAAAGATAGCGTTTCAAAATAAGCGAGTAGCTACATTTTTTTTTTTCAATTTTTGTCATTATTATTTTAAAGAAATGACATCTTTTATGTTTTTCAATTAACACAATTTTCTCTTCTCTTTTATTCGTAACTTTCACCACAATTATTATTATGAGATGAAGGAGATTCGCAACAATATTGCTACTTCATTATGGGATGCTAGATCATAATTATGCTAGTAGTTTTATTTCAAATTGTTACTTTTTTAAGACAAAATGTTAAATTTTAATATGTAAACAAACTAATTTAAATTTTATTGAAGATATCCTTTTTGTCTCTTTACATTTATCATCTTATCAAAAAACTAATTTTACCAAATACTTTCAGGCATAACAGTCTCAGTTTTCAGCTTTCAGCTACCTTTTCAGCAATGTTTGCCAAACATAGCCTTTATATGTCCTATTTAATATTCATTGGTTAAATTAATATATTTTAAAGGAAGATTACACTTTTTGTCTCTAAGTTATATGATAATTATAGAATTCGTCCCTAATTGTTACTCATGCTCACTTTTCATCCTTAAATTATCATTGGCGTTGCACTTTTCGTCTCTTTACTAACAAAATATTATGGACAAAAATGAACACCAAAAATTAATAAAAGGATGAAAAGTGTAACACCAATAATAGCTTAAGGGTAAAAAGTGAGCACAACCAATACTTGATGAACTTTATTACGCTATAACTTAGGGATGAAAAGTGCAATTTTTCTCAATTTCTATTAGTTTTTAATTATTTTTAAATTTAAATTTCTGTTGTTATAATACTTTTAATGTAATATCTAAGTATATAAATTATATATACGAATACCTAGCTGAAAAGCTAGTAGCTAATAAACTAACAAATTGAAATTAAAGTGTGATAAAATTAATTTTTGAATTAGCTGATAAGTATAAAAACACAAAAAAAGAATAAACTGAGATATTAGGATTTTGATTAATAAAGGGTAGATGGTGTCATTTTTAAAAATTAATAGAGAAAAGAAAAATAAAACAAAAGTCAATAGCTCATTTTGAAACACTACTTGATAACGTTTTGAAATAAGCTATTATTTTAAACTCCTCATATTTTACCAAACAGAGTTTATAGTTATGTGTAGCTTAAAATAAGTTGTGGGCTCTGTTTGTTAACATAATTAGCTTATCAGTCAATTTTGGCTTATTTGACTACTATTAGTTGTTTGACTTGGGTAAACATTCAATATAGGTTTTTGTAATAGCTTATTACTCTAAAATGCTAAAATTAAAAAAACTACTCAATACAACTTTTTGAGAAAGTCATTTTATAGAGTACCAAATATCTTTAATTTCTACAATCAGTTAATGCTATCAACTAGTTAAATCTACTAACCTCATCAGCTAATAGCTATTTACCAAATGGAGCGAGCTTTTATACTTTTTTACGAAATTAAAAGTAAAGAAATTTGCAGGTGGTAGAGGGAGCAAGAGAACGAGGAGCGGCGAAAATAATTGGAATTAACATTCACGATAAGAAAGAAGAAAAGGGAAAGATTTTTGGTGTGACAGATTTCATAAATGCAAAGAATTCTGAAGATAAAAGCATTTCAAAAATGGTAGCTCAACTGGTCATAGAGGTGAAACTTTGAAAGAATGGGAGCAACCTCTCAAAGTGAGGGGGACTCTTTGTGCGCAGTGAGCACCGGTCTAGCCTCTATAATTAATGTTCAGTTGAGTCACCATGATTTACAACTTCTCACCGTTCTGTCGGGCCGGGGTGTGGGGGGCCCTTAGGGTTGAGGTTCAGCCTTTGGAAGAAAAGGGTGAAAGAAGCTACGGGAGGATTGGGCGTTAATTACTTGGCCCTTAGGGTTGAGGTTCAGCCTTTGGAAGAAAAGGGTGAAAGAAGCTACGGGAGGAAAGAAAAGGGTGAAAGAAGCTACGGGAGGATTGGGCGTTAATTACTTGGCCCTTAGGGTTGAGGTTCAGCCTTTGGAAGAAAAGGGTGAAAGAAGCTACGGGAGGATTGGGCGTTAATTACTTGGCCCTTAGGGTTGAGGTTCAGCCTTTGGAAGAAAAGGGTGAAAGAAGCTACGGGAGGAAAGAAAAGGGTGAAAGAAGCTACGGGAGGATTGGGCGTTAATTACTTGGCCCTTAGGGTTGAGGTTCAGCCTTTGGAAGAAAAGGGTGAAAGAAGCTACGGGAGGAAAGAAAAGGGTGAAAGAAGCTACGGGAGGATTGGGCGTTAATTACTTGGCCCTTAGGGTTGAGGTTCAGCCTTTGGAAGAAAAGGGTGAAAGAAGCTACGGGAGGATTGGGCGTTAATTACTTGGCCCTTAGGGTTGAGGTTCAGCCTTTGGAAGAAAAGGGTGAAAGAAGCTACGGGAGGATTGGGCGTTAATTACTTTTTTGAATGCACCGACGTCCCCGACTTGATGATCAACCAAGAAAGGTAATGTTAATTAATTTCCTTATCTTTTTCAATTCAAAAGAATAAACAAATTTAATTTAGAAATAAGTGTGAAATAGGCTAGACACATCAATATTATTATTAAATTAATCTTTCACATAACAAATCATATATAATCATTAATTAAAGAACAATTATCAAAATAGGCAAATATATAGAATCCATAATTAATTAAGCACCAAAACCTTAATTACATATAACATGTACAAGATTCAAACTAAAATAAATATAAAGAAAGAAAATAATGAAATGATCCTATGTATGTATAGTTTAAACTCGTAATCGTACCCTCTGTCTTCTTATTATATTACAAAATAAAACTTAAACCTACTCCTAATTTACCAAGAAATAATTTCTTAGAGGCTATGTATTTTAATGATTTTTTAGATCTAGAAGGAGAAGGGATTGGGGGTTGCTAGGGTTAATTAGTTTTTACAAGTAGGAAATAAACATTTAATTAATTTCATAGGGAAAATTAAATTATTAAAATATAAAGAATGTAATTGTTTTAGTGCAAAAAATAATTAGGAAAACATAAGTTTAAACAATAAACTCATGCCAAAGTGGGTGCAAGATAGACTTTAGATAAATATCAATTTTTAGTATATTGTAAATTTATTTTTATTATACTAAATGTTACTTTTAATTAACTTGAACAGTTGAACATGTATGAAAAGAAAGTAAGAAACATGTATAAAAATATAATAAACATACTAAAAATCAATCTAAATTGTATTAAAACTAAACTTATATTAGGGTCTAAGTTGCAAGATGAATTTGGGGTCATCCATATAATTTGGCATATATATACATTATTGATTTTACGGCTACGAGGTAATTGGTCGACAGGCTAACACAACCGTAAAACAGTGCAAGAATGTAAGAAAATCACGGATCTAGTAATTTTACTAGAGTGAAAAATTAAACTCTTTAAAGTGTGATCCTATGGGATATTTATACATATAGTTGTGTGATTGAAGAAGGAAAGGAAAGAATTAACAAATTTGGATTTAGAAAATCTTTCTAAACTAATTCTGTATTTGTTTCTTTATGGGATCGATCCTTTCTTAATATTTAAAAATGAAATTCCTCCCAAAATTTGAAAAGGATCTCATGGTATTATTCCTCATAATGCACCGTGCGTCTTTTTTATAAATGAAAATTAACAGTGTTTATTTCTGTCGTTTCGCACCCTTTTGTAAAAAGTAACTCTGTTATTCAGTGTCATTTTGTATACACTGCAGTTTCAGTTGAACACAACTACAGTTTCATTTCGATATAACTATAGTTTCATTCGATATTTATAGACTCAAATATGTGAAAATGTTATTTAATTTTATTTTATATACACTATAGTTTTATTAAAACACAACTACATGATTATTTTGATATAATTACAGCTTCATTGTACAATATACACTCAAATATGTGAAATGTTATTCAGTTTCAGTTTATATACACTGCAGTTTCATTTCACTATAACTACAGTATCATTTTGATATAACTACAGTGTCGGTTTGGATATACTATAGTGTCAGTTGGTGTTTAATACACCAAACAAACGGATTCCGTTAACTCTAACGGCGGGCCGTTTCTTTACTTAAAGAAACGGCGCCGTATATGGGCCGCGGTGCATAATCGATTATGCACCACGGTCTATAATATAACAACTGGCTACTCCTTCATCGACTGCCAACCACCTTTTCCTGACCGCTTACCTGGTAGTCTCAACTGGATACCGTACTCGGGTATCCATCGTACGTACATCATTCATCATGAAAATTGCATAAGATAAAAGATCATATCTTTTACATGGAGAAAGAGTGAGTTAGCAATAGCCACTGCACTTTGGTATCATCCTTTTTTTTTTTTTTTTTTTTGAAAACCAACGATAAAAGCATTAATTCAAATCCAAGCAAAGAGTATTACAAATGATAGGAGGAGGGTTCAGATAAAATCTCCAAGGCTTTGCACAACCACGACTGAAAGCTATCAGCAATATAAAGAAGAGAATTAAAGTGAAGATATCTCCAGTAGGACTTGGCGAAGTCACAGTCCGCAAAGAGATGAAGAATAGTCTCGTTGCCACTGTTGCAGATGTTGCAGTTTGCAGTACAGATAACATTCCTCCGTCTCAAGTTGTCTTTGGTGGGTAGAGAAGAAATACACGCCTGCCATAAGAATGTCTTTGACTTTTGGAGGGATTTTGTAATTCCATAATCTGCTCCAATATTTGATATCCTCCGATTTCAACTCGCCACGAATGGACTTATAACAACTTTTGATCGAGAACTTCCCATTGTCTTCGGGACCCCATATAACCTTATTATGCACATGTTGGTTGGAAAGAGGTATCTTCATAATCAAATCGGCATCTCTGGCAGTAAATATATCTCGGATGATGACTCGTCCCAATCATGAGTAGCGGGATCAATGAGGTCTTCCACTTTTGAGTTATCCATAAAAGGGAAAGGGAAGGACTGAATTTTTGGGTTGTTATTGTCCGGCAGCCAATTGTCATCCCAGATACGAGTATGAGAACCATTGCCAATTCTCCATCTTGAGTGTTTACGAATTATGTCTTGTGTAGCCATCAAACTGCTCCAAATAAAAGATGGATTGGCGCCTAAATTAGCTTCAAGAAAAGAAGAGTTAGGATAGTAACGTGCTTTGTAAATTTTGGAGACCAAGGAGCTGAGTCGGGATCACTGGTTAGTCTCCATGCTTGTTTGCTAAGGAGAGCAAGATTAAAACCGTGAAGATCCCGGAAGCCAATTCCTCCCCATTTCTTAGGAATGCACAAAGACATCCAATTCATCCTTAAGCAAGACACTTTATATCATAGACTAATTCAAGGTCCACATAGCATTATAAATCTTAATTAGAACGAAACAATGGGATACAAAATTCATTCGTAAGGTACAGAATTCATAACACAAGATACAAAAATCATAACACAAGATACATACACATGTTATACATTTACTTATTTTTCAAATTTGATTTAGGTACATAATTTGTGTCAACGGCACAGGATTTCACAATACAAGACACAAAAATTCATAATATAAGACATAATTATTAATTTGTTTCAGGTACAGAATTTTATCACACACACACACACACACACACACACACACACACACACACACACACACACACACACACACACACACACATATATATATATATATATATATATATATATATATATATATATATATATATATATACGAACCTTGATCCCTTGTGCACAACGCCATTTAACCATGCATGCCAATTAAGTCATTGAATCGTCGTGATTGAATTGCTTAAGCAAGTAGGGCTGTGCAAAACCGAACAAATCCGAACAATCCGACCGACCCGAGATCCAAAACAAGGCATCCGAACCCGAGCCGAAACCGACAACACATATCCGATCCGCTAAGCGAAACGACGCCGGATAATGTGTATCGGATTAGGGCTATGCAAAACCGAACAAATCCGAACAATCCGGCCGACCCGAGATCCGTAACAAGGCATCCGAACTCGAGCCGAATCCAACAACACATATCCGATCCGCTAAGTGAAACGACGCCGGATAATGTGTATCTGATAGGGTAGGCAAAAATCGCATCCGACCCGCCCGAACTATCCGAAGTTTCCTAGGGTTTGCTAAGCTATGCTATGGTACGACGTCGTATAAGCCTATTATATATGTATGCATTTGCATATTGCGGTCATTTGCGCAGTCGTTCACCCCACTCTTTGAGACCCTAATTCTCTCAATCACTCATTCTCTCTGAATTCTCTCTACTCTGATTCTCTCTAAGTCTCTGTGACTCATACTCTCATAGTCTCAGTCTCTCAGAGTCCTCTCTTCTTCTCTAATCTCTATAGTCCGAGTCTCCGAGACTTTCACTCTCTCAGAGACAGTGACTCACTTACTCGGTGAGACCTGTGGGCTATCCGACTGTGTCTGATTCTCCGATGGCCGTTAGAGACTTAGAGTGGTGGAAGCCCTTCTCTCTGGTGATTACTGGTTAGAGACCCTTGTTCTCCGGGGAGTATTTGGGGAAAACAAGTAAATCTCTAACCCTAGTTTTTATATTTATGATTATTCACTGCATGTTGATCTATTTGGGTTATATGATGATATATTTTGGTGGAAGCCGTTTTAATCTCAAGCCCTAGTTTTATATTTGTGATTTATGTATTATATTGTGATCTATTTTGGTGAAAGTTGTTTTAAACCCAAACCCTAGTTTTATATTTGTGATTTATGTGATATATTATGATGTATTTTGGTGGAAGCTGTTTTAAACACAAACCCTAGTTTTATATTTATGATTTATGTGTTATATTCTGATATATTATGGTTGAATCTGTTTTAATCGCATAGGGGGTATGCAAATCCCACCCAACCTGCTATATATGTTATGATATGTTGATATATTCTGATTATCTGCTAGTTTGTGATAATGGTGGAACTGTGGAAGCAGTGTGATTTTGTGATGTCCCTGTAAAAGTTAAAGGTTTAACTATGAAATTATCAAGGTTGAAACTTGAAATTTCCATTTATTGGTGGAAGCCCTTAACTGAAATCCAGATAATGATGAACTGGATAGGTGTTCCTGAATCTGGATTTCTTTGTAATGTAAAAATATGATATGTTTATCAGATTATGGATGTATGACCCGTAAATGTTCTTAACTGTTTGTACAGATGTAAATATGAAGTCTTGATAGATGATGACACAAACAAGTGTCTGAATCTGAATTTCTTTCAATTGTTTGTATGCTTGATCTGTTAATCTGTTATTCTGTTTGACAAACAATTGTTTGAAATCTGAATGTTGTTGATGCCCGTCTTTTTAGATGGAGAGCATTAGTCAACCTAGTTCTGGACCACAACCTTCAACTCAGGAGGGACAACCCCAAGGCACTGAGATACCTCAGCAGCCTCAGGTGACTCCTGTTGTTCCACAGAAAAAGAGAAAAAAGGTTGAGTCCAGATCCAGGGTGTGGGAGCACTTTGAAAAGATACACGATAAAGAGAAAAATCTGATTGAGGGGAGGTGCCTATATTGTTCAAGGGTATATTGTTGTCAGCCAAAAAAACATGGCACTTCATCTTTAAGAAATCATATGGTGGTCTGTATTAAAAATCCTCACTCGAAGGATACAAGGCAGTCACTTCTGACTTTCAATGATGTCTCATCCTCTGCACCAGAGGGTTCTGAAGGGGTAATGGGGGAATTAGGCACATGGGTGTTTAATCAAGAAGCCATTAGGAGGGCTTTATGTGAGATTGTTATAATAGATGAGTTGCCCTTTAGGTTTGTTGATGGGATAGGGTTTAGGAGATTTATTCTAGTTGCCTGCCCTAGGTTCCAAATCCCTTCAAGGTGGACAGTTTCAATGGATATTTTCCAAAGATACCTAGATGAGAGATCAGTCCTTAAACAAAATTTTAAGGGTTGCTCCCAAAGAGTCAGCTTAACCACTAACACATGGACCTCTGTACAGAGGATAAACTACATGTGTATTACTGCACATTTCATTGATGATCAGTCGAAGCTCAACAAAAAGATCATAGCCTTTGTCCCTGTTTCATCTCATAGGAGAGAGTATATAGCCAAGGCCTTGGAGACTTGTCTGGTTGAGTGGGGTATTAAGAATGTCTTTACTGTTACAGTTGACAGTGCCTCTTCCAATGATACTGCCATGGGGTTTTTTTAAGAGTAAGTTGATGTCTTGGGGTACCACTTTTATGGATTGGTTTGATGTGAAAAGCTTGGTAACTCTGCTGAAAACTTTCTATGACATGTGAGAATTTCTGGTTCTCTTTATGTGAGATCTAACACTTTCTTTAGTGAGATCTCTGATCTTAGTTGCATCTTAGATGTCAGATGACATGACTGGTGGATCTGGAAATGAAAAGGTAAATTCCAATCTTGTTAATTTTTAACAAATATGTCTGTGTTTGTTTATTAATATGTTAACTAATTAATTCTTTGCTTTGTTACAGGAAATGGGCACCCAAATGAAAAATAAGTTTCTGAAATATTGGGGGGACCCTGAAAAAATGAACTGTGTGATCTTCTTTGGCACTATTCTGGACCCTAGAGATAAAGTTGAGTACATGCCTGCCCAGTTAAATCAACTTTATGGTGATGATAAAGTCAAAGCCTGTTTTGAGAAGATCCAATCTGCACTTCTTGAACTGTACAATGATTATGCAGCCACTTACTCTGTGGATGTAAACACTGAACCAGCTGTTGTTGCCCAACCTTCTCAACCAGTGACTGTGCAGCCTAGTGCAACAACTGTTGGTAGGCCACAACGTAAGTTGAAAAGTCAATTGAAAAGGCAAAGGATGGAGAGTGGTGGAAGCCTTAAACAGACTGACCTGCAAATATATTTGAGTGAGGTTATTGTGGAAGATAAGGTTGATTTTGATATCTTAAAATGGTGGAAGGTAAACTCTGATAGACTGCCCATTCTCTCTAAAATGGCAAGGGATATTCTTGCAGTTCCAATATCCATTGTGGCTTCTGAAAGTGTTTTTTCAACAAGTGGTAGAGTGTTGGATCCATTTAGGAGTTCCTTAACTCCAAAGATCGTGGAAGCTTTAATTTGTACACAGGATTGGTTGAGATTACCAAATCAACCAATACAAATTGAAGAAAATATTGATGATTGTGAAAGGCTTGAAATAGGTAATTAAGTACTTAAATACTTTGATTATTTAAAACTTTATTGATGATACTTAATATGTGTTTTTTACTTGCAGAGTTGCCTACTGGAGTTAGGAGTGCTGGAACTTCCCTACCAACCATTGCAGTAATGTTCATTCATTCTGCTCTCAGTTTTATATTTAGCTGTTATCCTGTTCTCTTAGAAGATTAGATTATCATTCTGTTATGACTTATGAGTTATGGCTTATTGGCTTATGAATTCGATTATCTAAGTGCATTTTAGTGCCTTGGCCCCTTCCACAGTTCCACTTGATTGAACATCAGGTTACAGCTTTACAGCCTACAGGTATAACAATACCAAATCAGTTTATGCAGTAGCACTTTGCCTTGATTCATTTATGAATCCTGTTTGCAGTTGCATGTTTTGCTAATCTGATACGGTAATCTGGTATTATGATTCTACCTTACTCTTTTACCTATTAATTTTCTTTGGGCTATGATGATGCTTCCACCTTTGTCTGAATCAAAGGACTTTGGGATGGTATGTTGCTCAAGTTTTGAATTTTGTTCTAAAACTTTAGAAGCAATTTCTCTCAATATTAATGATTTGAAAAAACAGCAATCTGAGCCTAATTTGGATTTGTCAGCAAAAAATGTTAAAGTGTATTTTCAATTTTTTTTTTATGTTATTTAAGTTTGCACCTTAAGCAGGAGGATGAGGAATGCTGAGTTGATGGATTCCTGACTGCCTGACTTGCTGTTGCTGCATTTAGTTTTTGGATGATGCCTTAATAGCTGATTTTTTGAGAATTTGAATGTTTAAATCTGTATATCAATTTTTGTAGTATGTTCATGCAATCAGTTGTAACTGTTAAGTTGTAAAGTTTATATAACTTGTTACCTGTTAGGGCTAACTTTTATGTTGTGATTTTGAAGTTGTAAGTTGTTAACTACTACTAGTTACTAGTTACTACTTAGAAGTTAACAAGTTACAACTTACCTTAAACTAGTTTTTGCTGTTTTACTTATTCAGTACGTAATTAGTTAATTTGTAGTTTTTTATAAATTTTTTATTCAAATCCGATGTATTCCGAAATCCGAAATGAACCGTCCGAAATCCGACTTTGACATATTCGACATGTTTAACCCTAAAAAACAAAGGAAAAAGGGGATTAATATGTGTAATCCGAAAATCGAACGGATGACTAGTACCGAAATCCGATCTGTCCGAACCCGTTCGACGCACAACCCTATAGCAAGTGGTTACCAATATTAATATAATTGAAAATTTGTAGGGATTTGGGACAGTGATTCTGCTTGGAGCAGGACTACAAATTGATTGGCAAATGAATTACGTTCCCTTACCAGGACTATGTGGTCCAATGGTACCTGGGTTGGACTTCCATTTGGAAGGTTGTGAGTTCGAGCCTCTATGGAGGTGTTATTAGCTCTTTGTGTTTCAGTAGGTTGAGAAAGTATATGAACAGATACTACAATGTAATAAAACTAGTAGCATTCAAAAAAAAAGAATTACGTTCCCTTAATGATGGGTCGAACTTTGAAGGGCTCAATCTACGGAGGCGTCAGGATTCGATCCGACGTTCCTTCAATCATAAATAAATGCATAAATAAGGTATGCTTTTTCCATAAATCAGCCCACCTGTTTTTTTTTTTAATTATTAATTTTTGTCATATGAAGAAGATCTATTCATGTTCAAAAATCAGAAATATAATTGCAGTTAGTGTTTAATTTGTTTGATCCTACTATTTCCATAAAAAGTTTTCTAATTTATAAAAAAATTAAATTTTTTGCAGGAAATTAAATTAGATGAATTGAGTAGTCAAAAATTTTCACTGCATGAAGCGAACAAAGCATTAGAGTACTTAAAAAATTCAGATTGTGTCAAGGTTTTAATCAAGTTCTAGGGTGGATTTTGAATTCTCAGCTCATGTGCTTTCAACCTCTCCACTCATTATGTTATGGGTACTTAAAATAAAGTTTCAGGACATGATTATCACGGACTTAAATAACATATTTGAGTTGTGGAGAATGAAAATATGTAATGCAATTATGTATCAAAATTGTACCAAACACAATATAATACCATAAATAAAGCATTAAAATAAGTATATAGTTGGAATTTGATAACACAGTTAGAGAACCCCCCTCTAATGGAAAATTATGTTGTGCATCCGTATGCACCATGCATGGTGCATACGGATATAAAAACGACGTTATTTTGCATCAAAACACGCGTCCTACTTAAAAAAGAAAATCAGTTTCGATTTCTAGCAACAACATTATGTTATTCATTTTTTAGTTCATTCATTCTGGATTTTTAGTTATGAAATTCTGGATGTATAGTTATGCAATTCTAGATGTGTAGTTATGAAGTTATGGATGTGTAATTATGCAATTCTGGATTTATAGTTATGAAATTATGGATGTGTAGTTATGCAATTCTGAATGTATAGTTATGATCGAAGTTATAGATGTATAGTTATGCAATTTTGAATTTATAGTTATGAAATTATGGATATGTAGTTATGTAATTCTGGATGTATACTTATGAAATTATGGATGTGTAGTTATGCAATTCTGATTTTTTTTTTTTTAAAGTTAGACGTCAAAACGACGGCGTTTTTGCTTCCGAATGCACCATGCATGTGCATACGGATGCACAACATAACGATTGCCCTCTAATCTGCGAGGCCACGCTCAAAAACTTTTTCATTTAAGATCAACTCACGATTTTTACAATTACAAGGTTCAGTAAATTACAAAACTATGTCTATCACCTATTTAAACATTAACCTTATAAAGCAACTCTTTAACCAACCTGAATTTCAACACAGCTTATATTGATATAAAGTGGTGCAGTTACTCCATATAGTACTCTAGTCTGTCCCTATTTAAAGTTTCTTCACGGCACCTTCAATTAATTTGTCTGATTTATCTCCTTGAAACTTGATTTTAAAAAATCTCCATGAAACTCCAATTTATTTTTATTACATAGTTTCCTATTTATAGTGTTTTAGACACCATAAAATTAGGAAAATTAATCCCATGATCTAACTGCCCTTTCAGGTAAGAATATTGGAGATAAATTCTCAACCACTTGTTTATTTGTTGAGATAATCAAGGAATTTGTTACCAGCTCATCTTGGACTTTATCTTCAATCCAAAAATTGGTCTCCATGAATTACAACCATCACTTTCTTCATCTCACATAATTAGGCTGCTTCAATATCAAATGGACCAACAGGACTACAATATGCAAATAAAAACACTAACATATGCCAATAAAAACAAAATTAATATTTTCATATTAATTATGTACTAACAGAAAAAAATATTATTTTAAGTTGGTAGAAATTTTATTACGAGTTAATCAAGAATGTTGGTTATTTGACCATTTATTTAGAAGAGTTTATCTTCAAAGCGAACGACACAAATGCAAATGCACCACAATCTGCGCTCAAATGCGCCTAAAAATCATGCATGCAAGGATGTATCATTGTACGCTAGTAGTGCAACGACACTATACATGCAGTGCAAACTGAGAAATGTTCACAATCCCAAGCCCCCCCACCCTCCACTACGACGCAACCCCTTCCCTCTAAGAGTGTGTTTGGAAACCAAGAAATGATTTATGGAAAATGTTTTTTTGGAAAATCAGTCATTTTCTAGAAAATAGTTTTATTTTCAGTATTTTGTTGCATTCTGAAAAACTGTCTTGGTATCTTTGGTTCATTTTTTGAAAAATGAGTAGAATTTTATAATTAAACATTTTAATTATTTTATTTAGAATATTAAATTTATAATAATATTAAAATAGTGTTATTTATTAAAAATTATATATATAAAAAAAACCTCTTGTTTTAGGCGCAAACTATACCTATGATTTCTGCCGGAACCAAGCTCGTCGGTGTTGAGATTGGTCTATGGAAAATGACTTCAGCCAAATTTTGGCAGAAGTCATTTTCTTCCAATACAACTATTTTTTTTTTAATGCTACTGACTCTATTACATTGTAGTATGTGTTCAAACATACTTTCTTAACCTAATGAAGCACACAAAGTCAACAACGCCTTCACTGACAATCATATTTTTTTAAGTCAACAAAATATAATTTTCCTTGACTTCATTTTTCAGACACATCCTGTGAGACCCCAAAATTTATTTTACCTAAACTCCTATTATATTTCAAATATTTTAAAACCAAAATTTCTATTTTCTACTCCTACAACGATTTTTCTACTCGAATCCCAATTCCCAATTTAATATTTTAAATCCTCTATTCTAAAGTTTTAATATAAATTAGAACAAATTGCACTTTTGGTCCTGTGAGTATTAGGGTACTGACAATTTGAGTACGTGACTTTCAAAACTCCCAATTTAAACCTTTAACTATGCAATTATTGGCAGATTTGGTCCTCCGGGCCAAATTGCCGGCCAAATGTTACCGGAAAAATGTAAAGATTTTTAAATTGTTTATTTATGGGGGTAAAATAGTCATTTCGGTATTCTTCTTCCTTCTCCTCCCTTCTTCTTCGCCCTTCTTCTTCTTCCTTTGCAGCAATGGCCGAAAATTGCCACCTCCAAGCATCCATTAATTTATTTGCAATGACGGAAATAATTTGGATTATACAAGATTAATTAATTAATTAGTATCATTCTTTGTTCAGCTACTAGAAAATTAGGAAATAATTTGGTAAATCAGAAGCTCTGTTCGAACCCATTTCATGGTTGAGTTTCGCGGATTCTTGCGAAGGCATCAAGATTGTCAACCTGGTTCATGGTTGAGTTTCGCGGGCTTGTTCAGTTCATCTTCTTCCCAATGCAAGCCCCAGTTCGGAGTCTCAGCCTCGCGTTCTTACTGAGCCGTCCATGGTCTAAAGAACCCAGCTTTCGATCATTCTCATCTTCTTCTTCATCAAATTACTCAAACCAATCTCGCGATGGCCTCCCTCGCTTCTACTCCGAAATCCTCCCTTCTTCAGAGGTATCTCCATTTTGCTCAATCTCCCTCTTTTTATCCTCTCCCAAGTCCCAATATACTATTCATTCGTTGAATTTCTTCTTTTTGGCTCAAACCCACTTCGTATTTTACTGTTTTCGTTTATCTTTTATTAAATCATTTTCGCATTTCATTTATTGTTCAGTGTATGTCTGCTCCCAGTGCAAAGATGAAGAAGAAGAAGAACGAAGAAGAAGGGGTGAATGAAGAAGTGAGTGAAATGACTATTTTGCCCCCATAAATAAACAATTTAAAAATCTTTACATTTTTCCGGCAACATTTGGCCGGCAATTTAGCCCGGAGGACCAAATCTGCCAATAATTGCATAGTTAAAGGTTTAAATTGGGAGTTTTGAAAGTCACGTACTCAAATTGTCAGTACCCTAATACTCACAGGACCAAAAGTGCAATTTGTTCTATAAATTATTTATGCAATTAATTATGATTTTGGATACCCTACGTGAGGGATATATTTATTAGCCAAAAATCTTACTTAAAAAGTCAATCTAAGATGAACCTGTGAATCTAATTGAATTGTTTTCAACCCAAAAATGTTTTTAAAATGTACGTAGCCTATTTCTATAATTTTTATATTATATTTATTCCGAGCTTGATCCATCTTTTGACCCAAAATTATAACCTGAAATTTTAATTCGCGAAAAGACCCAATTACCCCTCCAAGCCGTGAAACACTCATAGACCTAGGATTTTATGCCTATTTAAAGGCCCATTTTTCCTGATGAGAGACTTGTTCCCCATTTGCCTCCCTCTTCATTTCACTGTTTCATTCATCCGAGGAAGAAAAACACAAGGAAGAACACCAAGTGTGAGAACATCTTCTCCAGCCTAGCTCAATCTTTAGCTTCTCATCTTTCCCTTTCCATCTCCTTCATCTTTCTTATGTTTGTATGAGTGATTATTGTGCATGTGTATGATAAATATGTGTTGTATGATTTTTGTTGGGATATTAGGAGGTGAAGGAGGAAGTAGCCTTGGTTGAAGAAGAGGGGGAACACAAGCTAGAGAAGCTAAGAGCTCAAGGTATAACCCATGGAAACCCAAAACTCTAATTTTTATCCTAAGTGATGTTATTATGTGTTTTGTGTGATATTTGGTAGATGTTGTGTTGTGAGTGATGAATGTGGCGTATTGATGTTATGTTGATGTATTATTTGTGGTATTATACCTTTGGTATGAATTTGAAGTTCTTAGTTGTGGTTTGGTTGCTCTGTTGTTGCTATCGGAGAAGAACAGGGGATGATGGGCTCCCTCATCCTCCTCAGTTGTACTGGCGGGACTTGTCGCATACCCTCCAGGAGGGTATGCGGCGAAGCCTGCCAGTTC